TTACAATATGGTTAAATTTTGTTCTTTAAAAAAGCTAATTTACTTTCCATGGGAGGCCCCACCCTCTCTAAGGAGTGGATGGTGGTGGGTGGGGAGTGGAGGAGGGGAGAGAGGGGGAACTGAGATTGGTATGTAAAATAAAAAAAAGATTGTTTTAAAAGAATTCTGTGGGTGTCAGTGGGGAGGCCTAGGTAATCTATGGGGTCTTGGGTAGTATTTATCCCTGGTGTACAAATAGACTTTGAGTGCCCATGCCACAATATGGGAGGCTCTCTCAGCCTGGACTCTTGTGGGAGGGCCTAGGCCCTGCCCTGGCTGAAATGACAGACTCTGGAAATCCACCATGGAGGGCCTCACCCTCCCTGGGGATCGGAGTAGAGATTGGGTGGGAGACTGGGGGACCTGTTGGGGAGGGTGCGGGAGGAGGAGAGGGAGAGGGAGCTGGGATTGACATGTGAAACAAGATTGTTTCTAACCTAAATTAAAAAAAATATTATTTTAAAAAAAGAATTCTGTTAAAAAATAAAATTTAAATTTCATATAGTCTACTTACAGTATTTCCCCTTTCCCTTCTCCTACTCCTACCCACCCCCTCTCAAATTTATAGCCTTTCTTTTCAACTATTATTGTTACATACATACATATGAATTAGTAAATACATACAACCTGATGAATTCATTGTTGTTTGTTATGCTTTAGGGCTGACCAACATATTGGATAACCAATCAACGGGCTCACCCACAAGGAAGACTCATTTGTCCTCCCTCAGCAAATACTAATTTGCCTGCTGTTCTTCAAATTAAAAGACAAGAATTTCTGGGGTTTTATTTTTTAAGCCATCCAGCTAACATTTCCCTTTATTTTGTAAAAAGTTTCATTTGCTTACTTTCTATGGCAAGAAACAGTCATGGACGGGACTTCTCTCTGAGTTAAGATACAGTCACTAAAACAGCGAGAAGCCACTACCCAGAGGGCACTTTGAAGCAGATGTAGAATAGCTTCCCAGAAACACATGCAGAAGCATGGTTAGAAGGTGGTGGATACTGGCGATGTGCAGAGTTTGCCCTGTATACTGTAAACTACTTCAGAGTGCCATGTTTCCTCCACAGATTCCTGAGTGTCTTACAAGAGGAATCACACTCATTAACTTTGTTTTGATCATACCCCACTATTATGTTGAAAAAATGTGACAATTTAATTCATTCACACTCTATATTCTCTCCTTGTTTTGAAAGGATCAGGATTGGCATCTTTTTGTTTCATCCTTCTTATTGGTTTAGAAGTTTTATATACCTTTTTTTTTGAGATAGGATCTTATGTAGTCTCAGGCTGGCCTGGCAATCACTATGTCATGCATGCTGAGTTTGAACAGGTGACTCTTCTGCTTTAGCCTATGAGAGCTGAGGTCACAGACCCGGACCATTATGCTGGCTTACTTTTTATAATTGTAACTACTGGCCTGGCTATGTTCTGGATCATGTCTTCAAAGGTGTTCACATTAACAAGGCCTTATTGCTGAAGAAAACACCTACATATATCATTGAACATGGAGATAGTGTCCATGGTACTGGAGGGTACTCTGCATGCTACCAGAGGAGCCCTTTCTTTTCCGTCTTACTCCATGTCTGGCTGTGTAAATAAATGGCTAGGTGGCTGGCCCTGATGTCCTCCTCGCCTCGTTCCCTTGCTCCCTGTTTTTCCTCATTTCTTCTCTTATTTAAACTCTCTGCCAGCCCTGGCTATCCTTGCTTCTTATTAAGACCATCAGGTGTTTTAGACAGGCACAGTAACATTTGTTTACCACTGTTAGAGGTAAACAAATACAACATAAACAAAAGTCACATGCTTTTTTTTTTTTTTTTTTCAAGACAGGGTTTCTTTCTCTGTATTGTTTTGGAGGCTGTCCTGGAACTCACTCTGTAGACCAGGCTGGCCTCAAACTCACAGAGATCCACCTGCCCCTGCCTCTCGAGTGCTGGGATTAAAGGCATGCGCCACCAATGCCCAGCTAAAAGTTATACACCTTAAAATAATATTCTACCACATGAGAGATCTTTGAATATCCAGCCTAAACTAGGATGCCTCCATAAAATACCTCCCCTTAGGGCTCAGGGGACTTTTGGAAAAACAGGTAGGGAGTAGAAAAATTGTAAATGGAGACAGAAGACACCATGGGAACAATGTATCCCAGACACAGCAGTACTGATGCACACATGAACTCAGAGAATGTAGCAGCATGCATAGGGCCAGTACAGGCTCAAGTCAGATGGGTCCTAGCACCAAGAGGGGGAAGTGGATAGCATTTCCTGTCCATAACCAAAAAGCTATCTCTAATTGCAAAGGTAAAGCTAGTTTTCTCCAATGAAGTCTCGTTGGGTAGACAAGGTATGGAGTTGAATGGGTGGGGTGGAGGGGAGGATGTGAGAGCAGATGAAGGAAGGGAAATTGATCACAACATATTGTATAAAAAAACACTACTGAAAATGAGCAGCCAACTCACTGCCCAAAAACATCATTAGCTCACTAAAAGCACAGTGCCTGTCTTGCACTATGGTCCACTGCTCATGAAGGTGTCCCCTGGGCTCTCAGTGGAGTTCCCTTTAGGATCTGGTTTGGCAGTAAGGGAAAGCAAACAGTCTGAGGCCCATGCTGCTAGCTCTGAGTGGGAAATCCTTCATCTGATATAGGAGTCTTGAGTTTTCTGGTAGTGCCCAGGAAATAGCAATAGGATAATCTATAGACTTGAAAGTAGGGTCAGATCAAGTTCTAAATATGAAAGGATTCCTGACTCAATGTCAAAAAATAATGTGCATTTTAGCTTCTCCTTAAAATAACAACAATTACTATAACATTTTAAAAGTGGATTTTCACCTTATCTTTCATAAAATATTCTTATTGTTGTCTAAAGTTTTATTTCCACATTACTAGTGTTGGTATTCAGGCATCTGTACTGGCCTGTCCTTAGGGTTCTGACAGGACACGCCCTCAGCTGCAGTTACTAAGAGCACCACCCATGCATATTCACTAGGTTTTCTTTAAAGGGCCCTGCCCACCTCCCATCCTTCATTTTCTTTCTCTTCCTCTGTCTGTCTGTCCTCCCCACCTTTCCTCTTTCCTGAAGCCAATACAAAGAGCAATAGAATTGGAGAAGGCATACTGTTTTTATTGTCCCAATAGAAGCGGTACTAGACTGGATGCTGAAGATTGGGACCAAGGGATAAGAGTCGTTGTTTAAGTTTTAGGACTGATTAGTTATTTTAAACTTTCAAACACTCTCCACACATTTACTCAACCACTGCTATTTTTAGCACTTCTAAATGTACGGTGTATTAAGATAATGATTTTTACCCGAACCTTTCAACAGTCAGTTTCAGGGTAGAAGACTGTTCAGGACATGCAGAGGCTAAGATAGAGGAAGAAATCTCTATTCTGAGCTCTATTTATTATAATCAGTTTATTTCTTTAAATTCTTCATATAAGCATTTTCAGGTTGAAGTAAAAATCAACTGGTTATACATATATACACACACATTTAAAATAGAAGGAAATGTACAGGAAGCAGGAAATACTGCTTGGTAAATTTGTTTTGGCTACACACAGATACATATACTCACACAGACACACAGACACACCACATACAAACACAGACAGAGATACAGATGCACACACACAGATACAGACACACACATACATATAGACACATACATGCACATTAAGGATTCTCAATTTTTTGTGCCTTGAGTCTCAATATAAAACCCAATTTTCCTATATAAAATGTCTTACTAAATATTATATGCTTTAAAACTTTGTATTATAAATATTGTAACATTTGAAATGACAGTAATTTTAAACTATATTTAATCCTTCAAAAATAACCACAATAAACTTATTTAATATAAGATAATCAAAATTAATATTATGCAGTATAACTTTCAACTGTTTCTATGTATATATTCACATATATTTCATTTTATAAAAATACCCATACACCTTATTAAGCCCTTTTCCTATTTTAGCAATATACAGCCTCAACATTATATTCCCTTACCAATAATTTTGCAATAGAACAAATCTCTGAAAACATAATTACTTGCAGAAAAACGATGCTTTATCAATTTATGTATTAGATGAGACATTCAGATTATTAAAAATAAGTTATAAAATGAAATGAGCCTCTATGTTGCTATTATTTAAATGCCCTAGGCAAATGTAACATGTTATTAGTTACATTTGATTTAAAAAATTTTATTTTCTTTTATTTATATGAAATGTGGTGAAGTTTTGATACATGTTTATCCCCTGGACTTTTAGAAGAAGAATGAAAATGCATAACTGACTAAGTCATATCCTAATGAACTCTTGAATGTTTCGTTTGGATTTTACTTGATGTATACTACAGAGTAACTAACAGAAAGCCAAAAATCTGTCAAAGCTTCCAAGGTAATATACCAAACCAAACACCAAAATATTCAGGATGACATATCTAATTTCTCAAAATGTAGCCACAAATCATAAAGTCAAGGTGAAAGCCCTTCAGTGCATAATTTAATAAAACACCTTTCTCTAGTAAGCCGACCATGCTCCACACTCAAGGTTATTTGGACACCACAAACTTGACTTGATGAATTTAGAGGAGAGAGAGAGGAAGAGGGAGAGAAAGTGACCAACAGTGCACACACCAAGCTGGACAGGTAGAGAGAGAGATGCTTTTGGTAGGAGATTAGAGAGGAGATTAATATGTCCAAAATGCATAGCATGAAATTTGTTAAGAATTCATAAAAATTTTATAGTTTAATTCAATCTTCAATTAAACAACAAAGTGTTAATAGTAAGTATGCCAAGGGAAAGGACGTTATCTTCTTTTACATGAGGACACGGAAAGTAACTGCACAAACCTGTGCAGACATCTGATCACCAGCAAAGAGTACCATTTTTATTGTCATTTCTGCTTGACTTTATCACCTTTACTTCCTGTTCTGCTACGCACTGGGTATACTCACATCAGGAATGAAGCCAATCTCATTGAGATGATTACTCAGCTCTGGATCATGGAATGCAATCATCTGAGAGAACACAGTCAGGTACTCTGAAAAGACAACAATGCTGAAAACCATCACTGTCTTCACCAACTACGTCAAAGACTTAAGTTACTGTGTTTCATTCTTGTCTCTGTCTGTGGTAGTTTTGCTATCACATACACACACACACACACACACACACACACACACACACACGTACACCTATATTTTATTTTATTCCTATTACAATTTGTCTGGTTCAATATGAAGACTTTATTTACACTTTCCCTATTGTTTGAACAGGCTATTTTTAACAATTTATTCATGCCATACTAAGGGACCTAACTGTGGTAGCATGTGCTCCAGATATTTACCACTTTGGTAACAGAGGGAAGAAGACTATGAAATCTAAGACACCCTGTGGTGCAAGGCAAAAGAAGGAAAATGCAACAAGAGAAGTGGGCCCAATTTCATTTTTGACATTGAAATCACAGTAACTTAATAGAAAACCTTTGATAATTTCAATTTTCTCCAACAACGTAACTGATCTTTAAAAATGAATTATTTGTAATATCTAAAAATGATGCCTCCTTGTTTTATCAGTTAATACAAGCACTGTGTTATTTCAAGAAATAGTAATAAGTAAAAGCTACAAATTATTTTTTCTCAAGTAAAACTGTTCCTAATACTTGCTAATAAATACTGTGTGTGCTTTTATAGGCAATATCCAGTCAGCAAAGGACATGCCAATGCGCACTCAATTCAATGATATGACTCAATCACATCACTAATGTGAACATTGTCAACTCATTCCAGCTAAAGAATGGGGTGCTCAATTACCACATTTCTTGATTACTGTACATTCTAATGCTGCCCCATTTTTCCCATCTCAGAAAAAAATGGTATAATTTCAATTAGCTTCTAAAGTTACAAATAAAATTGAAGATCTGGGACATGGTTGAAGGCACTAGGAGGCTTTGACATTTAACTTTTTTTTGTAACTGCTTTCCTGCCTTCTTTTACAGTTTTCTATAATGTCAATTTGCCCAGAAGCTAGAAGTATGCATCATCAGTCCTCATAAGTACTCAACAGTATATTGATAAGCTACAGTTATTAACTTTTAGCTTCTGAAAAGCATGTCTCAATTTAAAGCAGAAATTCATGCCTCAAGCAATTCTCCATAGCTATACATGGGTTTGTTAAACATCATTCCTATTTAAGCCTGATAAACTTAATTACTATGGGATTTCCACAGCTAATTAAGGATTTACTGAAGAAACCTCACCCATATTTTCCTGGTGCTTTGCCAAACACCAATGACGGGATTTATATCAGCATGCACATACTCACATACACAGATATACAAATTACCATTTATGTATTATTGTATTGAATACAACTTCCCATAGGTAAATATAAGTTATAAAGTTGGCAAAGTCTGGGCTATAAAGACAGCTTTCCATTGAAGCTTAGTGTGAGCTCTTTATTTAAAGGGAACATGAGAGAACACGTGCAAGCATATGTTTAAACATATGACATTACACGTTCTATCCTAACAGAATTTAAAATTCCCCAAAGTAACAAAAAATCTAATTGCAGGCATCCTTTGATTTGATGTGAGAGGAAAAATAATGGTAGTTACAAAGAAATAGAACAGTGGCTAGATTAAAACAGAAGATTCTCCACATTTAACACTATTGATTCCTTTTGAAGATACACATTTTAATGTGTATGAGTACTTTGTCTGCACGCATGTCTGTATAGCACACTCATGCCTTGTGTCAAAGGAGACAGGAAGAGGGCATCGACTCCTCTGGAGCTGGAATTAGCCAGTTGTGAGCTGTCATGTGGGTGCTGGGAGTTGAACCCAGGTCTTGTGGAAGAGCAGTGCTCTTAACTATTGAGCCATCTCTTCAGCCCCTATTAACCCATTTTAAGGGGATATTAAAATGCTAAAGCACTATGATTATGAGTTACAAAAATGATAACAATATGAATCATGCTTCTTAAAATAGTCTCACAGATAGTATTTTCTAAAGGTGAATATCATTCGTTTTTAAAAATGAAGATAATTATACAATCATCCATACAACCTCAAGTGTAGTTTCTATACTAGTTCATAAAACCACATATAAACTTCCTGTATTTTAATATGAAACCTTGTATTTTCAGATTTTGAAATGAGGTATACAATGATAATGAATTCTGCTTTCTAATTTCTGTGTATTAAAATTTATTGTCCTCTTTTACTTATTATATGGTCTGCAATTACAATCCTCAATGAAACTGATGTAAGAATTTCACCTGATACCATAATTTTTATGGCTGTTTATAAATAAGCCATATTTGTTTTAAAAAGCTGCACGGAGCACATGAGAGATGAACCTTCCAAATCTCCACATACGTATCTGCATTGACTCTCTTAGCTGGGGAGAGCAGAGGTGAAGGACACGGGAACAGATTCAAAGCGAATGGTTGTGTCTGTTTGCTATTCAGAAAGGACACTCCTCTTGCTAACCATTATCTTCCATAAGCCTGCCAATTTATCCTGAAGATGACGGCAGTATCGGTGGGCAGAGAGATGCTGCCAATGGTCATGTATGCTTCCAACTCCAGCATGCCAGAGGCACCAGGAACAAGCCTGCTTGAGCTACAAACCAAGTTTCAGACTAGCCAGCCTACACATTCAAAACCCAAGCCAAACAAACAAAACAGATACAAGGTATGCGGATCCCAGCACTCAAGAAGCAATGGATAAAGTTATTTCCACTAACAAGGTGGCAATAGAGGCTTGACCTCCTTAATAAAGCTGAAGACTAAGCAGAAATCTTTAAAACTAAATGGGAAGAGGGCAATCAAAAGAGAAGAAAGATGATTTGTAAAAAATGTAGTGTTGGGAATTGAACAAGGACCTCACACATGCTAGGCAAGCACTCTACTACTAAGTTATTGCCTTAGCCCAAAAAAAGTAATTGTGATTTAGGGTTATATATGTGAACCATTTTTTAAAGTAGCAAGCAAGCTTAACTAGTAGCCTTTCTAGTTAAAACAGAACATTTTCAATATTGGAAAAATTTCTCGTCACATAACTCAACACTTCATACATTTCTCCATATAGCCTACCATTAAAGCAAAATATGGATGTTCATTAAACTGGCTTTTCTAAATCATGACTGTCAAAGTGGTTTGACACTGCTTAGCATCCCTAGTGTATGGGAGAAAGGAGTCTTGTTTACATCACACGTGACAGTTACAGTTTTTAATGTCTTTCTTCCTCCCTTTCTCCATGCCAAGGACTTGCTGAATGTCTGTGTGATGGGATCATACATCCTAGTTTGCACTGATTTGGCACACAGCATCTGGGATAGTTACTGCCATATTTAATTTTCAAAAATACCTGAATTTAGTCATCTACTAACATAAAGCAACATGGTACTGCAATAAATGAGACAAACATCACTGTGAAAACAGTTATTTTCCTTTCCCTTAAAGGACTTGGAAAAATATACACCTAAATAGAAACCTAGGGAAATGTTATACTCTAGACTTAGATGGCATGTATCTTTTCTACTATGACTTTTAGTAGCCTTATCTTTAAGGTGTGAATACACCTCAAACTTATAAAACAATTAAAAAAATGCTTAATGTGCCAATTTCATTGGCTAACATATACCCGTACTGTAAGCTATAAAGGACTCCTCAAAAATAGCTTGATTTCATTTTACCTGGTAGAGACAAACTCCATATTCTTAAGCTAACATGCCTGCATCTGAACTGAACTGAGAGCAGATATTCAATAGTCATTAAGATAGTCCCAGAATTCTTTGTGAATTTGTAGGAAAACATTCCTTGTATTTCTTCCTGGGTTTTGGTGGTGAGCCATCAACATATGGATACTGAGCCAAAACTATTATCTTCAAGATTGGTTATTTTTGATAAAAATGTGCTCCTATATGAAGACAAGACTGATTTATTATTTTGATAGAAATTTGTCCTACACAGAGACAAGAAAAGCCATTTGCTTACCTTGTATTACATGTGAGTTGTCTTTCAAGAAGAAGTTATACAGGTATTTGGGAATAAAGGCAGACATGCATGCATAAGCTAAGGCTAAGAAAGAATAAAGCAAATTACAAAATCAGTTAACAGGGTAATGGCCAGCTGCTGCTCACTCAGCACAAAATTTGAGATTATTATTAAACAATAAATATGGTAATAAGTGCTAGAAAAACAAATTATAGGGAGAAAAGCTTCTGCTATTTAAAAATTGAGACAATAAAAGATAAGCATTCCAGTAACTTCAATTTCAAACTGCTATAGCAATCATTAAACCACAAAAGTAAAATCTTAATTGCCTGAAGTTCATTTATTTTAATTTCTAAGCACTCATTACTAAGGAGGAACATGAACTTTAGAATCCTTAATTAACACTAATGCAAGTAAGACTCCTGGAGCTAGGAATACTAGTCATAACCTGTATTTTTCAATACAGATCTTTTATCACTCTTGGATTGGCGTCTAATGATTGGATATACCTAAGTAAACACAGCGAAAGCCCAAGTCCATACTAACGACTGAGTACATCACAACTGTGTACTGTTAAATCATTCAGAGAAACGTAAGTTTGTGGAGATTATGCCATCGCAATTCAGAACTTTCTGTTGCTTATGATATGATAACATATGAAAAATGGATATTCTGTGGTGAGACACCAATTAAAGAAATATAGGATAATGTATTCCATGTGTGAGGTAATTCAGAATTCTAAATTTGGTTCTATTGAATCCACCAAATACTATTCTAAAAATCTAGTATAAAAGGTCCTAAAACAGAGGGACAGAAAACGAAAACCTGCCATTAACACACAGATCATCAGAGTTTGGCAGAACTAGCTTGTACGAGAAGAAAACTGGAAGCACTAGTAAATGGGCACCAGCCTATGAGAAGAACGTTGGCAGCATTGACATATGGGTACCAGTCTCTGAGAAGAATGCTGGCAGCAGAAAGGGAACAAAGAGGTCTTCATTAAACAAGTACAACTGATATAACATGTGCAGGATACATAATGAGGGAGAAACCTTGCTGATATTGACTAGTTTACATATTATTTAGAAAATATATTTAGCAGTAGTTTCTAGAAAAGTCAGACTCTTCTCCCAACATCTATAAAAATGATTATCAAAGCAGGCTAATTAATTTAGAAGAATTAGCCCAATTTCCACCAAACTTTTAGACATGGTCTGGTGTCAAACACTTCAATACTAAATTAATTATTTTCACTTCCTAAGAGAAATTAACATTATTTCACAATATTTTATGATACATACAAGGTAAAATAAAAGAATTTTAAGAACTTCTATTTTTGAGCCTGATATTTAAGAATAATATACATAACGATATCTGAATGATAAAAAAAGCTTACCTTCATTGTTGAAATTCAGATATAGGAATGGAGCACAAAGTGAGTCAAGACCTGATGTAGATGAGTTGAAGCAAAAGAGTAAAATGAATACATTCTAGTAGAACTGAGATACCTAACTCTATTCTTTCATTCCTCCAAAATATAGTAAGCATTGTAAGTACATCTACATAGATGCATGTTCAGTAGTTACTATACAGAATAAAAAATAGTATCTGACATATCATCAGTGTCCAAAACAAGCCAGTTATTTATTATTGATAATCAATATGAGTATGAGGCAAAGAGCAACACAGCAACAGTGACATAGAAATATGCTAGAGGGCTTTACACCACAATTCTGACTCAAACCACATGTGAATTTAGTAATTATTTGGCCTCCAGATATGTTTTCTTATTTAAGAGATGGATCTTTGCCATATAAGCTCCTTTTCCTCAGAATTATGAAAAAATCTTTATAATTAGTGAAAAAATGTACAAATATATTTATTTTATTGATAATAATGCTATTCATCTGTCATCGTGCTGAAAGAACACACAAAATATACCTATAATGGGTTCAGAGGATATAGAACATCTCTGAAATGTGTTGGGCAAAAAAATAATGACACCTTTAAAAATGGCAAGAAAGCAATACAAAACTCAAAATCAAAAACCACTGCTCATAACAAAACACTCAAAAATAGGGTTGGTTTGAACAGGTTTCTCATTTATGAATTAATGATCATAAAGATAATATGGCAAATGTTAAAAATCCAGGATTAGAGACATTAAAGATTCTAGGAAGAAAAAGGGAAAAAGTTAAATGAGCAATTTTAAGATGATATTCCATTCCTAATAGTTATATATTAGGAATACTTAAATAGTAACATTCTCAAATAGCCTAAAGCCTTTTATGGTATAAGTTATTTCACTCCTTTGATAAGATTAAAATTGCTTCTAAAGATTAGACTGCTTTTCTAATGTCACTGCAAGACGCTTATCTTTGGATGTCATGTTATCTTCAAAGCATTTAGACCAAATTTGTTTGATCATTTATGTAACATTAACATCTTCAAAGTACACTGGAATTTTAGTTTTTTTTCCCCCTCCAAATGAAAGACAAAAGACATGAAGAAAAGTCTTAATAACTAAAAAGTTACCTTGCCAGTACACAAGATCAGGATGAGAAACTACCCAAGCTTTCAGTACACGTCGGAACTTTGCATGACCTTCTGGGGATGATAACAGTTCATCGTACTGATGACAGCGTGGAATATCCACTTCAATCTGTAACCAGCAAACATTAAGGCACTGTAACAGATGATCCCTACAGACTTTTAGTCCTTGCTTCTTCAACACATAAGAGAAGTATGCTATAGAATATTTCACCTTTATAATCTCTTGATAAATGTTTTTGAGTTTTTCAGTTAATCTTTGGAAACATCACACATAATGAAGAGGATTTTCTCACTCCTTTTAGCACTTAAAGAAATGACAGAATTGCCTTAGGAAAACCTTACTTGTCTATCGGTGGGAATTGGAGTGTCTTTGTCAATTGCATCATATTTGGCATGAATAGCTCCCTGCAAAAAATAAAATAAGACATTAATTTATTATATCCTTAATAAAATGGCACTACACATTAATATGCTGGGATCTTAAGTATTTCAACTTCATAGTTTTTCTAATTTTGGAGTATTTGCATAAAATTTACTGGTACAGTATCTCTAATCTAAAAAAATGCAAAATGTATTAGTTTTTCAGCAAGATGTCAATACTCAAGGCTTTTAAATGTCAAATTCTTGTATAAGAGATGTTTGGCAGGAGAAACCTGTTTAATATGCATACTTATTTTTGAAGACCAACCCAACTATGGTAAACTCATTCTCTACATTTTTGACCATGTGTTGATGGTAGTCTTCGGTAAGTGACATTGGCCATTTTGGTGAGATAGACCTTGACCTGGTGTGTTGGTGCATACCTTTAACACTCAAGGGATAGAAGCAGGTAGACACGATGGCAACAGACTGAAACCTTACCTCAAAAAGAAACAAGAACAACCACCAGAGGAGCCCCTTTGAATCATATATACCAAAAGGCAAATGACAAAAGTCACTTAGCGAGGGAGCACACTAAAATGTTGTTTCCTATGCATTACTAACTTATAAATCAAAATTTTCATAAAGAAGATATTATTTTAGAGCAAGATTTATCTTAACAGAGATTTTCTGTTAACGTTGGCAAGACAAATAATTTTTTCAGAAGAATGATAGTGCATGGACTATTTGGGGTAGGGTGGAAACCCTGTAGTTATAGAAACAGTAGGCTCATTAACATTTCTTAGTTACACAAAGAATATTTAAATATAGCAAATTTTGTTCATGTTCTATAGGATTACACATGAAAAAGTTCTTATTTTTATGATTTACTATAGTGGTAGGGAAAGCCAAGAAGTTAGTAAAATTATTTGCTGGATCAATTTCTTTGTGATATCTATTAAAATCTGACATAAGTCTTTCTGGACTACAGTACCAATTATTAAATGAGGTAAGGAACAATAGGCAGTCTTGTGAAGTAACCAGACAAATTCAAAGTAATTTAGACTCTCATTAAGAAAATCAAGAATAAAGAAAAAATTCTGCCAATAGAGGTCTGTAAAGATTAAAAGTAGTTAAGGTTACACTATAGGGCAGGTCCACACCCAGGAGCAGTAGACAACATAAAAAGAACTCTATGTATTTTTTGGCAATTGTTTTGTTATTGTTATTACTTTTTGTCTTACTGACTTTCATTTTGATCATTTGATAGTCTGTTTTGAGGGTTGGTTTTTTTTTTTCCTTTTTTGAGACAGAGGGCATATTTTCAAGAATGAACAGAAAGTTGGGTGGGTAGGGAGGTGGGGAGGATCTGGGAGAAGTTGGAGTTTGAGAGATAATATGATAAAATACATTATATGAAATAAACTTAAAAATATTTGGGGGAACTAAAGTGGTAACATGTATCTATGAGAGACTGCAGGAAGACAATTAAAAAGAGATCGCCAGAAAACGAAAGACTGTGGTTGTGGCAAGGATTCTTCATCATCACCATATGTCATCACACTTTTCTGGTAACACTGCAAATTTCATGAGCAGCCCTGTGACAACACCCTCTGCCTCATGACCACAGATCAGATGTAGAAGACACAGCAGCTATTTCTCTTGGCAGCTTGGCCTAAGTGGAGCAACTACGTGAAAAGCCACTAAATTACATTCATGATTTTGACAAGACACAATTGGAATATAAGATTTATCAATTTAGAATAACATATGTTGAAGTTATACTAAAAAGGGGATATACTTCATAAGCAGGATGGCACACTTACAACTGACATATATTCATTAAATAACCTGTTTAAAATAGTAATGATATTTACCATGGTCACTAATAAACAAAATATTAAAGCACATCAATAATTGTATTTTATTCTCTATTTGCTTCATGTATTTTTCTACTTAATATTGTCGAATACTCTGATGTTAGTATTTCAATATATAATTTTCTACTAAAAGTATAAAATTAGAAGGATAGTATAGCTTTTCTGAGACTGGATTCCTCCATGTATTCCATGCCGGTTTTGAACTCATAATCTGCTGCCACAGTTTCCCAAGCATTTGGAAAGTAAATATGAATCCCTATAGCAGTTTTGTTTTGTTTTTGCTTCTTTGAGACAGGGTTTCTCTGTATTGTCTTGGAGGCTGTCCTGGAATTTGCTTTGTAGACCAGGCTGGCCTCGAATTCAGAGATCCACCTGCCTCTGCCTCCTGAGTGCTGGGATTAAAGGCATGCTCCACCAACGCCCGGCTTACATTTTATATTCTTATACATTACTTATCAATTTATAACCTATGTAAAGAGAAACCTTTTCCTTGAGAGAAGCCTTCCCGCCCGCCTGGTTCTAGAGCTGCATCAGTCCCAAATAAACACACAGGAGGCTATATTAATTATGAAGCTGTTGGCCTTGCTTGTTTCTTACTGGCTACCTCTGACTTAAGTACTTACCCCATAATTGTTAATCTAAGTATTTCTCTTACCGGAGAATAGTTCCGGGCTTCCTACCGCATGGCGTTACATCTTGACTCTCTGTGTTTCTCCTTCCCAGAGTCCTCCTGGACTCCTAGTCCCTCCTATCTTGGTTCTCTATAGGCCAACAGTGCTTTACTGACAAATATACAGGACTTCTCCCATCAATAACCTTTTGCTTTCTTACCTCCACTCCCAGAAGAGCAGCCCAGGTTAAACCCCTCATAAGTGGAGGGATGTCAACTCTTGCTTCTTTCCAGATTTGATTTTTTTTATATGGATAAGCCTAGGATAAGATAAAAATAGTCAAAAGGAGCCTGGAAGGTAGCTGAGTTGGGCAGTCCGTGCCTTCAGGGTCATCAGTTCACTCTGTCTTGTGGTGAGGAGTGGGGCCATCTCTCTTGAGTGCAGGGACCAGTTCTGTAGGGTCAGGGATAGCTCTCTTGCTATAGTGTCCAGTGAGAGGCAAGGTCAGTTTTCCCAGGGCCAGCAAAGGGTGGGGCTGGCTCAGCATGGCCTTCTGATTTCGTCTTGCATGGTTCCTAAGCCCTCTGAGGTGACACAGGCCTTGGGTTGGCCCACCCTACCATCTACCACATCTAGGACCTGCTGGAGATCATGAAAGGACTGGTCCTGTGGAAAAATACCCTCAGAATCTGCAAGACTTAGGGCAGCCACAGGATATCCCAAAGGATTCAGTGAGGATCCGGTGATGACAGTGTACCCAAAAAAAAGAGGGCTTGAACCAGACCAGGGCCTCATTGCAATGAACATTTGCCATATGGCACACTGAAGCCTCCATTGCCAACAGAATGAATGACGAGGTGTTGGAGGGGTGGGAAGGAAGGAGAAGCAAAGAGGTTTTGTTGTTGTTTCTGTTTTATTTTTATCTTTTGGGTCTTGTTTTTGTTTGCTTGCTTGCTTACTTTGTTTTGTTTTGTTTTGTGGGGAGGGGTGTTGCAGCGTTGAGGGGAGGATATGGGGGACCAGGATTTAAGAAGAACTGGGGTGCCTGATGTGAAACTCCCAACTCCCAAAGAATCATAAAGAAATTAAATAAAAAGTAAAATCATATCATGCATATTTATCAACTACAACACAATAAAACTAGCAATCAGTCAGGAGAAAAAGTTTGAAAACACAGACACATAGTAACTCAACAACATGGAATTTCCCCTCAAAACACTAACCCTGTCTGACTGTTCCTAGTTACTTTCCTTTTCACTGGCAGAATGCCTCACAGAAACAGCCCAAGAGAAGGGAAGTTTGGTCCATGTGTTGGGATGATGGCCTCCATCACAGTGAGAAAGGCATGTGCTGGTTTCCGTGCACAGCGCCTACTTGTTACTTGGTGCCAACAGGAAGCAAAGAGGAGAGAACCAGAATCAGGGACGACCTATAAACTCCAAAGTCTACTGCTAGCTATCATGTCCTTCAGGGAGGCTGTACCTCTTATGAGTTCCACAACATCCTAAAACAGTGTGACCAAGTGTTCACAGACAGAAGCCTGTGAGGATATTTTACATTCAACCTGTAACACTTACTATGATCCACAAATTATGATTCTGGGTATGAATTCAAATGAAAGGGAATCACTATATCCAGGAGACATCTGGACTGACATGATTATTAAACTACCATGATTCACAATATGCAACAAATAGAACTAACTTATGTCCATCAATAAGTAGATAGAGGAAATATGGCATATTATTCCGCTCCAAAACATGAAATACTATAATTTACAAGAGCCTGAATAAAGCAGGAAGACACTATGTTAAATCAAATAGGTCAAGCACAGTAGACAAATACATATGGTTATACTCATATGTGAATTAGAGAAGACAAACAATTAGTAAAGTTTCTTACAAGTTCAAAGTAGAGAAGTTCAATGTAGCTAGTTGGAGCTGGAGAGGATAGTGGTGAAGGAAGGAGGGAAAAAGTTGCTCAATGTGTGGTATTAGGTCAATGAAGTAAACACTAGTGTTCTATTGCACAGAAGAGTGATTATTTATACATAATAATAGTACAATACATCTTACAATAAAGCCACAAAATGATAACTACTTTGCCACACATAAATGTTAATGTTTGAAGAAATAGGTAAGTTTATTTTGACTTAAGAATTGTACTTTGCACATTGGTACCTCATAAATATGTACAGCTATATATGTCAGTTATATATCTGACATACATGCCTAAAAGGAGTCAGAGAAATGCTTAGTAGGTAATGGCACTTGCTGCGATGATTTGAGTTTGATGCCTGGGATCCATGTAAAGACAAAAGGAGAGAACAGACTTCACAAAGTTGGTTTCTACATGCACACTCTGGCACAGGTGCTCACACATATATCACACACATAATAAATAAATATCATATACTTACAATAATAAATAATTTAAAAACAATAATTGAAAGGAAAATAGCAATGAGGCAAGAAACAGAAAATGTTTCAAATTACCAGGTATCATCTTCTAGTCTGGACATTTCATAATATATTATGTGGCAGAGCTGAAGTGTCCTTTAATACATTTCTAAGACTGATAACCACTAGGTTTGGTTTTATAAACAGATGAATCGACCCCTAAACATCTCCAAAAGTGGAGTAATATGGTTGAAACAGGAGCTAATTCTGCCTGTTTTTAATCATTTCTATCTGTTTTGTCCTCTGGACAGATGTAAGTGACTGAAAACGAGGGATCTAGTCTTATATGATAAAAGAAGGTAATGGACGCAAGAACCTTGTAAAATTCTGTGACTTCTTGTATATCTAGCACATTTGTCCTTCTATAAGTCTGTAATCTGAAGTGATTTCTAGAAGATATTATTATTATATTATTATTATTTTACACTTTATTTCGCTCTATCAATACTGGCACTTTTTCCTATAGACTTTTGTGCCTTATTTAAAAATTATGTTAACTCTTTACCTAAGATGATCTTTCACATATTGTCATTTGAAATGCCTATCAATTCTAGAAACTAGAGAAGTTAATTAGAAGAGAGATCATAAGAACTACTTTCTCATAATTTCAAGATGTAAGGCTTAACAGCATTAAAAGAAAACTCACGTGGACTATCATTAACACTTGAAATGCTAGAATTCCTACCTTCAGCAGCCTGTCGAAGAGAACAATTCTGTTTAGCTGATATTCCGTATCCCTCTCTCTGATGATTAAAGGTAGGGTAGCAGCTGCAGATAACTCATTATTGCTGTTTGAATGAGGTAAATTTGACTGGCTGTAAAAAACAAAAAGTAAAAATACTGCCAAAGACAATATTCTAATAAAGCACTTCTTCCTAAATGTTCTATTTAAAATCTACAAACTTCTTATTGCTCTGATAGAAACAGGAAAAAGAGTCAAATAAAGCAATATATACTCACTCATCTTCAAGTAATGGATAAAATGCTTCTCCTCCAACATCTTTTAATCTCTGTGAATTTAAAAATGAAATATTTACAAATTTGGTGGCAAGAGTAATATCTACTAAAAATAATAGTAATGTGAAAATTATGAATTCACAACAGTCCAAAGAAGTAAAAAACAGAATCTAAAATTAATTTCTTTCATGAACATGCAAACATACGACACTTCTGACAAGGTTTAAGCACACGCAAGATCTTCCCTTTTCCCCTCTACAGGTGGCATTCCTACCATTTCCTCACATACAACACCAAATTACTAACATTAACATAAAATGTAAATGCATAAAATATTTAAAAATGATTATTAAAAGGAGGTACTTTCATACATTTATTTATTAAAGATTATTTAAAAAGAGGTGCTTTCCCATATATTCATTAAAGATATTTGCATGAATTATAGGCAGTGCAGTCATGATAATGTACTTTTAAAAGTTCTTAAATGAGAACTCATTCAGAAATACTGATGAAGTCCATGAAGTTGAACTGTACAGATCCGGTATGTAAACAGCTGAACCTCACAGCTACACTACAACCATGTGACTGTGATGAGTATTACACATTTTAAACATCAGAATCTGATCACTAGAATTGTTTAAACTTCAATACGGCATATTATCAAATGGAGGAATAGGAAGACTCAGCTGATGCTGATGGAGAGACCAACTGCATTGTGAGCAATCAGTGTGTGTGATGGCTGAAGTCACACTGACTCCATTCTCTAGTAGTTCTAATCACAGCAGAAGTTCTCTTGTGTACCAGGAAATCAGGCACAAAGTGTCTTGTGTTATCTTTAAGGTTGTAATGTTTTAAAAACTATGAAGCATATTTGGTAAGTTTTTATCCTTACGTTTCTTAGCTGGCATAAGGACAATGTCACAGTGGTATCATCTAAGAGTGAGCTTCTATCTCGATCTTGCCCAAAACTTTCACCATCTTCAAAGAGAAAACTAGATTTAAAAGAAGGAAGAAAGAGTTGTTATAATGATCACAGATAATTCATTTCATTTCTTTTACAAATAAAAATTTCCTATCAAATCCCATTACTAAGAAGAAATAAAATTCAGACTAGACAGTTAATTTTGAAAACAAAACCCAGCATGGTTGGTGCACAAGCCTGGATCCCAGTGCTTAGAAGGTAGAGGCAGGGGCATCAGGAGTTTAGAGACAGACAGGTATACACTGAGTTCGGTTCTAGCATAGGCTACATGAGATTTTTGTCTTAAAAAACAAAGTTTTCAAAAAGTGTAACTGCTAGTTGAAGTTTCTTCAAACAAGGTAGAATATATATGTAGGTATGTATGTATATTAGCTGATTAGTTATAAATCTGGTATATGCTGTCCTGGTTAGTTGTAACTGTCACTTTGATACAGTCTAGAGTCATCTAAAAGTCCCAGTTGAAGAACTGCCTAGAGAAGATCGGCATGTGGTTATGTCTGTGGGAGACTTTCTTGACTGTTAACTGATGCAGAATTGCCTAGCCCAGCATGGGAGATATCTCTAGGCAGGCAGCTCTGAAATGTGCAAGAAAGCTAGTTGAACATAAGCTAGCCTTCGAGTCAGCTGGGAACTGGCATCTTTCATGCTTCCCTCTGTATGTCTCGGGTGTCGAGTGAGTTTCCTGGTCAGAGGTGATGTTGTGCCTTCTCCTTTCTGCCCTGGCTTCCTGCCTTGACTTCCTCAGTGATGCACTGTGAAGCAAGCTAGAACAACCTTTGCTCCTCTAAGCTGCTCTTGGTCAGGGTACTTGTCGTGGGAACAGATGAAACAGAACACATGCACAGCACTGCAGGACACAAGTGTGATTTACAGTCTCTCTCCACGCATGTGCAGCAGTGAGACCGTGAGCAGTATTCTGATGTGCTCTGAGGGAAACTGAAGGGGGAGGGACAAAGCACACTGGTTGGTAGGCTCTCACAGCAAGGGCAACAGATGCTTGCAGCTCGGCTTAGAATTCCAAAGCCTACTTTTCAGAATCTATTATTCAAATAATTTAATTTTCTACACTTTATTTCTGATTTTATACTTAGCTCAATGGGTGAGTGGCACAATAGAAATTAACATCTAAAAACACTGCTCCTAGAGGGCAGAGAGCTAATGATGAAGTTTAGTAACAGAATACTGTCTCGCCCCAAGTGCAAAGACCTGGGTTTGAAAACCAGTAGAACAATAAAAAATAAAAGAAAAATTTAAAACAGGGAAAGCAGAACACTAATGGTCTATCTCAATAAATAATCTAAAAGTTGAGCAAACAGTGATCATTTCTGAGAAATGTTCCTCATGGGCTCCTGAATTTGAACCCCTGTCCTCAGTGGAGCTGTTTGGGAAGGTTAGGGCACTTTTAGGAGGTGCAGCCTCCTTGGAAGGAAGTGAGTCACTGGAGGCTTGGAGGTCTTATAGCCTTGTGTTACTTCCTGTTTTGTTTCCTTCTTTCTCTCTCCTTCCTGTGTGCAAATGAGAATGTGGTCTCTTTGTTTCCTGCTTTCATTCCTTCCAGCCATTAGGGTGTAAATCCAAATAAACCCGTTTTTCTACAGATTGGTTTTTGATCATGGCATTTTATCACAGCAATAGAAAAGTAACCAATACAGACCTATAGTCAAATCTGTCCTAGATTATGAAACTGAAATTTTAAAGGTCAAGAAATACACACTGATGTTTCTACATGAACAGTGATGTTATCAGTATTTGAAAAAATAATATACATTTTTATTAATATTACATGATTTTCAAATAAATAACAAAGCAAATTATTTAAAAACAATATTTATAAGAAATAATAAATATTGATGGAAACTCTGCAATTACAAATTCTAGCTCAAGGTATAGAGTTCTAACTGCTTAATTAGAACATCTACTGAAATTAATAAAAATATAAAATTAAAGAAAAATTAAAACTACAAAAAATTTAAATTGTTATTATCAGAAATTTTCTTTACTTACTTAGGAAGTGTGCAGATAGGTGGTTTGGATCGAATAATTTCCTTGTTTGTAAGCTCCTTCTCCAGGTCCCCCCCAGCCAAGCACCACAGGTAGTAAACCTCCTCAATAGATCTCTCTGCCAGGTGATCACTGTCCATATCTACTAATGGGAAATGTTTAAAATTACCATTACAGCTTCCACCTTCAGTAACAGCTGACCGCAATAAGGACTGACATTCTAATAAAAGCAACTGAAGGAAAGGCTTTCACTTCTCTATGTAGGGGCTTTGTAAGGTGCTACTCCACCTAACACTGTAACAGAAGAGACTGCGTATCAGGCGATCTTGTAAGAATGATGAGAGAGCTGTGGCATGGAGGCAATCTGCTACCCACAAGACTGGAGAAGCAGACAGTGGGATGAAAGGAGCCACAGAACAGAAAAGTCTCAGGAACCAGAACCAGAATAGTAAAAGCTGAACCATACTTGAAAAGCTGCAGGCTCAGTGTGGACCAGTCAGAGTTTCACACCCCAGGGAGTGCAGCCATAAGTGGACACTGGCACTTCTATGAGCTTTCTCACTAGGAACCTGACCAGTTCCTCACAGTAAATACTGGAGAAAACTGGCCTGTGCATTTGGCAATGCAGGAAGAAAACAGGACCCATTTGAAATAGGGTCAGAGGATGCCTTTCTTCCTGACATGGCTAGTCCTCAGGAGTCAGTGCCTAAGTGACCCGGGAGGAGGGAACGCCTCCTCTGACATGGGTGGCAAGGAGGGAGGGAGGAAAGCGTCCAGCGGTCCTGCACCCAGGCTGCGTAAGTTAATGAGCTGTACTCTGGACAGTGCTGGGCACAGTCTTCCTGCCCATAGTGAAACGAAGACTAGGAAAAGCTGGAGTTGGGTGTTGCTTTAGCTCTCAGCAGTGGTCATAACTAGCAGCGTTTGACTCGTCTTTGTAACAGGTTGAATCTTCCTAAAAGTGACTTATGCAGAAGGACAGTCAAGGGGCCTGAGCTTGATGAAATTCTGGATATACTTTCTACCCCCAGAATAGAAGGATAAATGCCATTGTAGTACTGTTGTCAATAAAGCATTCCCCCCCCAGGAGAATCTGACATTAGAGACATCCACTGTGATCCTATTAGTTACAAGCCTGTTTCTTATACAAAGAGAAGCTAGAAAAGGAAACATTTGGAAAGTTGACTTAATTATGTTAGAGGTGCAGTACAGAAATTTTTATACTCTGCAGCAAGAAAGTAATATGGGCAGGAAAACCCACATATCAACCAAGTGTTCCTTTTCATGTTTCAAGGTAGAATATGATGGTATGGATTTCCTACTGATAATAAAATTTTAAGATCAGTTAAAATTATATGGAATATTAGTAATTTACAGTCTAAAATTTGACTTAAATTTTGAATATAAGGTTAAGATGTGTTACCTTTGTTTATGCTGTAGAATATTAGTTTAATGATGCAAAGACGTGTTGGATTCTTTTACGTTGCGTTTGTTTACCTCTGTGAAGCTGTGTTACTGTGCCTGTCTAAAACACTTGATTGGTCTAATAAAGAGCTGAATGACCAATAGCTAAGCAGGAGAAATAGGTGAGGCTGCCAGGCAGAGAAAATACATAAAAGGAGAAAAAGGGAGGGAGAATAAGGAGAGGAGGACACTGCAGGTCAGTCACCCAGCAACACAGCCAGCCATGAAGCAAAAAGGAAAGAAGGGTATATAGCATAAAGAAAGCTAAGAGCCCAGAGGCAAATGATAAATGGGATAATTTAAGAAAAGCTGACTAGAAATAAACTAGGCCAAGGCTTGGAATTCATAAGAAAGAATAAGTTTCCATCTATTTATTTGGGAGCTGGGTGGCGAAACCCCAAAGAACAAAGAGAAAAAAACCAACCAACTACAAGAATCACCATTCAATTCAATTCCCTGGCTATTATCCACAAAACTCCATTAATGTAATACCTGTTACTAATAAATTCAAAAGTAAACAGGTTAAGGAGCTTCTTTTAGACACAAGGCTCATATTATCACGTTTTATTCATCTTTACCTTTACACAGGCCATCAATATCCTCAGGCAGAGTTAGGTCAGCACATCGCAGAGAAGATGAAAACAGACTGGCAGGTTTGGTAAAGGGGGTGTATAAAGGTGACACTTCACTGAACACCTGGTCCTTCATTAATTCATCTGGGGTTGGCCTTGAGAAAAACAATTTAAAATACTCAGTACGGATAAAAGTCACACAAGCTGCCTATAAAATAAAATACACTTCCAAGGTGGGAGTTAAAAGTCTTAGATAACTCCTAAGCACAGACACTAGCAAAGGAGTTCTCTTCAGCAGTCTAGCTCTTGTGACTAAATAACTCAATACTGCATTATTCACATGTGTTATACTGCTTGCGCCTTATGTTCTAATAAAACAAAAATCATTTCATAAACACCCCAGATTCTGCTTGTAATGCTATCCTTTGCTCCTACCATGGCTTGATAAAGTGCCTTTACTAATGACAAATTAGAATATATTCTTTTCTAGCATTATACTCAGGAGGCTTAGGAATAGCTAGGTGATTAAAACTGACATCACAAAATGAAAACAAAATGTCAAGGAAATCCTTCTCAATTTTTATCAGTAACTACAAACTTAACATTCTTCCAAGATCAGTATGTAACACATAATGGCAACACACTTTTGTTATCACTCAAATATCATTAGAGCTAAGAGTACTGACATTCCTGGTTAGTTGTTTTTCTTCTTGAGGCAAAGAGATTGATTAGAAACATTTTTGGTATGTACCAGTTTTCTGAACATGATTTGACTTCTTTTATAGCAAAAATTACCTTTGAACCACATTTATAATACTAGTATCAACTGTGTACTGCTACATATGCAGCTATCCTCCCTAGTCCATCAGTTTCATCCCAATACTAACTCAACCCACATTAAAAGGGTCTCAGGAGAAGCCTAAAGCCTTAAGGAATCACCTCTTAGAGGGATGGAAGGTGAGGCACTTCTTCAAAATATTCATCACATTTTCAGGAAGTTCCTGGTAAATAAAGATAAAAAATAGATAAATGATCAATTCTAGAAATACAGTTTACCAAAATACTTAAATATCATAAGTTTTAATTTTAAAAAATCTGGATTTGGACTTTATTTAAATATATAGTAATTTGTTACTCTCTGGGAAAAAAGCCAGCATCTGCAGAGAAATAAGTATAACTTGAATAGCTTGTTACTGTATCCTGCTGTGAAAATAAACTTTCACAAACAGATTGCTCTGGTTTGACTGTGCCCCTTCCTAAATTTGGGTCTTGAAGGTAAATGACATTAGGAGATGGGTTACTGGAGTGAACATGCTAATATTATCCTGCAAAATGGACAGTTTCATATTGCCCTCTAAATTCTTATTTCTGCATCAGAATTGTTTCTTTGTGAAGCAAATGGTGGTTTAGGCAGACGTACACAACTGGTTAAAGTGCAGAGAGTAAGCCACATGTCATAAATCCTCTGTAAGATTCAATGTCCACCGTGGAAGAGTGGGTGGACTTACAAAGACTTAAAAGACAGAGGTTGAAGAGCTAATAACAGCTAATGGCTCCTGGTGAAGGAAGAGTTGGTTATTTGTAAGGGTTTGGCTCCTGGTAGACAGCCCATGCTCTTGCGGACAACCTCACACCCAGGAGTACATGGGTCACACACTGGACTTGACTAGCTATGAAAGAGGGGGCATGGATTTGGAGGAGTAGAGAGATTGATTGGGGTTGATCTGAGAAGAGTTTTGAAAAGTAATCGGGGGTTAATATGAACAAAACCTTGTAAGAAATTCTGAAGAATTTATAAAAATAAACAACAATAAATGAGGTGGGCCTGTAAAAGATGGTTAAGTCACAGGGCCCTCATCTTGGGAATGGAATTTTTATCAAACACACTTCACACATCCACCACGTCCTCTACCAGCTAGCTGGCTTTTCTGCTTTGTGAGGACAAGGTCCTCGCCTCATCACAAAACCGAGCCTGTGAGATGAAAACTTTTGTTCTTTAAAAGTTCTTTAAAAGTGAGCTAGTCTCAGACAGTCTGTTAGAACAGTACAGGCAGATGCACAACAAACCTTAATAATGTCCAGACAACCGTGTTCCTCAGCCAGAACTGTTATAGTGTCATCTACACAGCCTAAGGAAAAGGAAAAACAGATGAGTATATACTGCTGTTTAGTCTATCATAACAACGAGGAAAATGATAAAACATTTCCAAGTGTCATTTGGTGCTTAAGTTACTAAAACTGTTGTTGTTTTAAATTAACTTTCTTTACATGTTTTGATAAAAACACAAAGGCTTACCCACTCAATTTTTAGTTAAGCACAGGTACTAAAATACAGTAACTTAAATAGAGATATAGAAGAATTTAAAGAATTTTTAAACGTACTGTTGTTTATTGTGGAATATTTGTACACTGTGTTAAGATGTGTTTTGTGCAATAAGAAGCTTAATGGCCAATATCTAGGCAGGAGAAGATAGGTGGGTCTTCTAGGTAGAGAGAGAGAAACTAAGAAGAGGAATTGAGGTGTGTGATTTCGCCAGCAGACACAGAGCAAGTCAGATATGCCATACTAAAAAGAGACAACTGAGCCACATAACAGAACACAGGCTAATAGAAACAGGTTAATTTGAGTGATAGCTATCTGGGCACAAGCCTAAGGCCAAGCTTTCATATTAATAGTAAGTCTCTCAGTCATTATTTGCAGGCTGGTGGCTCAACGACAGTCTGATAAGAAAGCTTGTTTTTTCATGATTACATGAATAATTTATTTTTATTACATGAGGTTTGGAATGAGAAGAATGCAGCCACATATCTCTGGAGATACAAAGTACAAATTTAACTTTAAAAAATGCTCCAAATTCCTTGACAGCTGTAGTATCTATTCTTTGTAAAGAATCTATAGTAGAATATTATTTTAAGGTGTGTGATTTTTGTTTATGCTGCATTTGTTTAAAACTGTGAAGCTGAGGTTCTCTGCCTGTTGAAAACACCTGATGGTCCTAATAAAGAGCTGGACGGCCAATAGTGAGGCAGGAGCCAAGACAGGCGGGGCTGGCAGGCAGAGAGGATAAATAAGAGAAGAAATGAGGAAGAGAGGAGCAAGGATTGGACAAGGAGAGGAGGCTAGAGGCCAGCCACCCAGTCAGCCATGGAGTAAAAAGGAAAGTAACACATACAGAAGTGGGAAAGATAAAAGCCCAGAGGGAAAATGTAGATGGATTAATTATCAATAAGAAAAGCTGGCTAGAAACAAACCAAGAATAGGCGGGTGTTTATAAGTAATAATAAGATTCTGTGTGCGAATTATATGGGAGTCGGGTGGTGGGTCCCACAAAAAAACCAAAAGAGTTAAAGAGCAAAACCATTTCAAACAATAGAATCCATGAATCATAAAATTTTATGCAATTTAGCTAAAATTCATTACTTTTAAGTACTTAACTCTTCCCACAAGTTATTATTTGTAAACTCTATTGCTGGAATGTTGATGTATCATTGTTTTATATGAAATAGTCTATCAGTTTTTCTCTCTCATTATTATCACATATTTAACTTATTTCACTCTAAATTGGATTACACATTTGTTACTATAAATTTCAAGTACAATATACATATGCCAATTATAAAGAAAAATTGTTCTTCATATACAACTAGTCACATAGGAAGGTAGCTCAAAATTTATATATTGTGTTAGAAGTACAGTTTTAAATCCTATTAGTTTGATTATACAAGATAGTTTACTTGGCTAAATCATTAAACTAAGATTTCTTTCATGAATAAAGAAAACTGCTACACATTTTAAAAGACACTTTTCATTACGTCTTGTGATGCTTACCTCATCATCAACCTGGAGACAGACATTTCACTGTTCTCAGAGAGTACTTCAATGCAGACAGCAGCTGTTTCTATAGACTATGTTTACAGTTGAAAGATAATCAAATGCACAAAACTTACCCAAAGTAAGTAAAAATTTTAGTCTTTCAGAAATATCCAGGCTCTGAAACAATTTTCTTCCCTAAATAACAAGAAAATAAATTCTTATTAATATTGAGCATTTTCTCTCCCCAGGTATCTTTTTGTACCCTAACTGAAGGTGATTTTATTGTCCCTTCCATTTATCACCAGAGTTTTATTGATTTACATTCAGTTTGATCACAAAGAGCTACTGTTAACATTTTTAAACAGTTGTATATTTATTATGTAAGCCATCTAATTATCATTAGATCCAAATGGTATCTCAAGCACTGATCACTTATGAGAACCACTCATGTATGTATGTATTGTTTTAGTAAAAAGACAGAGATGGCCCTGGAAGTCTACCCCACAGAGTCATTATTTATGTATCGTGTTTAAGTAATCTGTTGTTCGCACTGATAATCACCCACAGCAGTTCCTCTTCCTGTCAAGCAACTTCAGAAAGGCATTCTGTGTCCCAATAGTAGCTGAGTTTTTATGATGTCTTTGTTGTTTTCAGAGCTGGGGACTGAGCCCAGGCCTCCAGTATGCTAGATCAGCAGTTGCTAGTCCAGCATGAACACTATGTTCCACCCCTAGCACTTCTATGCTCTGTTTTAGGACAGTCTTTCAGTCTGGCCTCAAACTTGGTTCTTCCTAGCTCCAGCCTCCAGAATAGCCAGTATTACAGGCTGTTTGAAGAGACCCATTACAGCAGACTACAACAGCCAGAATCGGTGTGTGACCCAACTGCCAGATGAACTGAACCTTTCCTGGATTCTGTGCTCCCCTCACCACCCTTCCCCAGACTCAGCCTTCCCAGCTATTTCCCATCTTCCTGCTGGGCACTGTTGCCAACCCCAGGGACTTCCACCATCGAGGAGCATGCCACACCAGTCACAACCAATGAGTGATTCTCCTGCCCTGGGGCCAGCCCTCTCCCACCTCAGCACCAGCACCACTGCGGGGCCCTGCCCTCACCCCAGAGGACTCCCATTGCTCCATTGCAGCTCTCACAGACAGCAGAGAGCGACAAGCCTGGAGCTAGACTGCAGCCACCCTGGATTCTGAGCACAAAGACCTACAGTGCTGCCCAACCCCTCCACCCACCATGCTCCCCATGGCCTGCACTTCCTCTGAACTCCGTCAGAATCCCCAGGCCCAGCATGGTCCACAGCAGTTAGAACAGACACCATAGGCCCAGGTACAGTCCACACTAGATGGAAACACAGCCCCAGCAGCTCTGCCACAGGCCAGGCTCGTCCTAAGAACCCTAGAAAACACTCGGGCTTTCCTGGAGGCCTGGCCAGATCTAGAGACTCAAGAAGACTTTGGTTTTACTGGAGGTCAGACCAGATCAAGGGACCCAAGGCCCCCTAAATCCCAGAGGAGATACCCTACTAGATCTGAAGACTCACCAGTCACTAGAACCCTTGGCCATTTAAGCAAGAGAAACCAAGAAGAAACAGAAACCAAAGAGCAAAACACCCATCCAACAATGACAAACAGGAATCAAAACCTAAATGTAAAATCATTCCAAATTCAGATGCCTAAATGCCAGTGTAAGAACACCATCAGTAACAGAAAGGGCGGGTTCACAACCATCTGGAATAAAATATGAGCCATCATGTGGTTGCTGGGAATTGAACTCAGGACCTCTGGAAGAGCAGAGTGTGCTCTTAACCACTGAGGCATCTCTCCAGAATGAAGGTTGGGATTTCAACTGTGAGTAGTAGCATGTAACTATAATTCTAGCTCCTAGAAGAGAAGGAAAAGTGTTTGGAATTCAAGATCAGCTTCAGCCATTAAAAAACGTTTGAATCCAACTTGGTAACAGTGTAACTCTTTCTAAAAAACAAAAGAAAGCAAAACAAAACACAAACTAATGTTCAATAACATCACATCACACAGCTATGATGTCGTAACACCAGACTTAACCCAGATTTGCAGATTTTCTTATTTCTATCTAATTAGATTTCAGATACACACAATTAAAACGTTAAATTAATTCTTAGCAATGATAAGGATAAACCAGTTACCTATTATTTTCAAAATATTTGGGAAATCCCTTAGATGACAGAAGCAAAACAGATGGGTGTTTTATGAGTTTCTCAGTGCTATGACAAAGTATCTGTGACATCAATAAGAGCTGAAAAGGTTTAGTTTTCCTTACTATTTCTGAGATTTCAGTTCATGCTTGGCCTGTCCCAAGGCTCTGGGCCTGAGGTAAGACAAAATATCATGGAAGCAGGAACATGCAATAGAGGAGGATGCTCTCACCTCATGGCAGTCAGGAAGCAACTCAGGGGTGAGGGTAAGGGGAGGGGGGCACCAGGGGCAAGATTCCCTCAAAGACCTGTTACTTAGGTTATACAATTAGTAAAAGTATGAGCATATTTGTCTCTTTGTGACTGGGTTATGTGTACTCACTCATATGGATTTTAGACGTAGTGCAAAGGATTACCAGCCTACAATCTGTTGTGCCCAAATTCTGAACCCCCAAATCACCAAGATGCATTTTGATGGAAAAGCAAAGTGTCTTTTATTGTAGTTTAATGAACTAACCCCATTAGCTCGGGCCTTTCATCCATTCATCAGGGTGGATTGCTGGAGAAAGGCCAGAGAAACCACCAGGAGGAGATTATATCAGATAGCAGCGTAAGGGGAGTATCTAGGGGTATGAACAGTCTCAGGATTGGTGCACTTCTGGGCTTGGACGACCTGTCCTATGTTATTTGGTCAACTAGTTGTTATGGCCCATAGGCCCTCCTAGGGCAGTTGCTATGCTCTGTACAACATTACTGTTATGCACTTGTACTTAAACACACCCAGAGCTAGAAAGCACAGCCCCGCCAGCTAAATTCTGATTGGTTCCTTGCCAAGAGGGTATCTGACCTCCTAGTGAGTAGGACATGGGGCACTTGCATAAGGTCAGGCAAGCACTTGTTAGCCTGTCATGGCTGCTTAAACAGGGGACTGGTCCCTTCACAATCCATACTGCCAGAGAAGTTAGGAAACAAGGAAGACCCTAACAGACATACATGATCCCCTGAAGAAGGGGGGGGGTGACAAGATCTCCTAAGCTAATTGGAAGCATGGGGGGAGGGGGAGAGGGAGTTAGGAGAAAGAGAGGGAGGAGAGGTAGGGAGAGGAGAACATGAGAGCAGGAAGATTGAGTCTGGGGAAGAATAGAGGAGAGCAAGAAAAGAGATACCATAATAGAGGGAGTCACTATAGCTTAACCATCAGTAACTCACTCAATCTATCTATTACCTATCTATTATATATCTGTCTATCTGTCTATCTATCATCTATTTGTCTATCTGATCAAACAGAAATAAAGTCAAATTGAAAAATAAGCCTTTTCCATTTATATTTAGTCATTTTGCACAGGAAAAAAGTATTTCATTATATAAACATTCTCTCTAAAAATTCCAATGAACACACAATTTCCTTTATTAGCTTAATACTTCTTTATACATACCACACAAAGCTCAAATAAAATTATCCCAAGAGACCATACATCTGACTTGGGGCCAGAAGGCAATGGTTTTTCACTTGGCCCATGATCAGTAGTTTTGAAAATTCCTTGTGCAATCACCTCAGGTGCCAGATAAGAGGGATACCTGCAACACATGTAAAAATAACGAATAATTACGATGGGCGACAACGGTGATAGAAACAGTAGCACATTCTTACAGTTAGTACGTAAGCTAGTAGGAATCCCACCAATTAAATCCATGGCGATTACCAGAAAGAATCTTGAACTAGTTACAGAAATATAGGTCTTTATGCCTAGGAATTGAAACTGAACATACAGGAGTCCTAAGTAACTTTTAAAACACATCTCTCTGTGATGTCAGTTTGATTTCTTGATCCTCACTGTAATCACATCATGTTGCCATATAGTCTCTAGAATTCCAAGTGCTTTTCCTTCCTCCTACCATTGGTCGTCTTTTAATGATGAATTGTTTCATCATCTGACCCTTGAATACGTATTATTTTCAGCAGTGTCTTAATTTGCTTTGCTGTTGCTGTGATAGAATATCAGTGAAAAGCAACTTTGGCAGGAAAAGGCTTATGCCATTTTACTATTATACTCCACCAATGAGGGAAGCCAGAGTTGTTCAAGCATGAACTGAAGTTGAGTTCATGGAGTAAGGCTGCCTACTGACCTGCTCAGCTTGCTTTTCTTTAGCAAGATTGTTAGAATTCAGGCCTCTGGACTTGCCTGTCCTTGGTGTTCTGTCAGGGTATGCCCTCAGCTGCAGCCACTAAGAGCACCAACTGTCCATATTCACTATGTTCCCTTTTAAAAGGTCCCTGCCCACCTCCCATCCTTCTTTCTTTCTCTCCCTCCCTCTGCCTGCTCCCCCTCTCCCCCGCTGCTGCTCCCATCTCTGGAGGCCAGTCTCTCCCCCTCCCCTTTCCTATTTTTGATCCCTTTCTCTAATAAATAACCCCTCAGCTTGAACCCTGTCCCATGGTGTCTTTCTCTTTCCAGCTGCTTTTCTTAAACTACAACAAAGACCATCTGCTCAGAAGTGGTGCTACCCATAGTGATCTGGACCTTCCCACACCACTTGTTAAGAACATGTCCTACAGACTTGCCTAGAGGCAATCTGATGGAGGCAATCTTCAATTAAGGTTCTCCTTTCGCAGATGTCTTTATCTCTTGTGTCAAGTTGATACAAATCTAACCAGTGCCAATGACCCCTTGTCAAACTGACCAATAAAAATATCATTATTAAACTATAACCTTTCCTTTCTTATGTATTCCCAAGATCTCATGTTAATAGTGCGATATAAAACGGTATAATTTTAAGAGTTCCATAGTCTTTAAAACATTGAAGCACTTATATGTACATATTTTCAGGGATGTGCACTTAGTATTCCATAACCAACTGGTGTTCTCTTCTCTGGGGAAGACTATTTCTCCTGCTTCCAGAATTTCTTAGTTGTTTATAATTCTGTCTACGGTTCAGACCTCATGAGTTTTCCTCCTTCCATGACAGCATGCCTATTGGTATTATCCTTGTTCAAGTCATCTTGAGACAGCCCCATTGGTGAGACTTCATGTGTATAATATACATACTTAGCAGGCTATATTTATGCATTTAGGAACTGATACATACATAAACACAAATACACATACATATGTAGAAAAATTAAAGAATAAGACACCATGATTTTGAAAACATGGGTTGGCAGTACATGAGAAGGTTTGGAGGGAGAAAAGGGAGGAGAAATGATGTAATCATATAATTTCAAAAAAAAAATTCAAAGTCTTTAAAAGTTCAGCCTCTTAAAAATCCAACATCATTTTAAAAGTTTAAAGTCAATTCTGGGTTTCTATAAGACAACAATTAAGTTATATTCTTATTCCAGGGGGAAGAACCAGGGCATAATTATAATCACATCCAAGCAAAACAAAATTCAACATTATAAATATCTCTGTATCCAAATATACTATGAATCAAGAATTGAATTATGAGACACAGCATGTAGGCATTTTCTATTTTAGTATCTTATGTATATGTGTGTGTTTGTCACATTTAATCATGAGCACCATATAATCTGGATTTTTCAATTCATTTACATTATTTTACAACAATAACTGGAGGCAAAACATGTACAAATATATGTGACATCCCCTCCTCATACTAGTTTATTAAACTGTTAAATCATTATTCGTCAGAATGACATTCTTTTAATTTACTCATTTATTCCTCTTATATATAAACTTGCAGATGATATTTTACTCTCAATTGATAATACTGCTTTTCTAAGTGACTGTGTGGAGTCTCTGAAAGCAGCTAAGTCTAATGAAGGAGCCCCAGACGCAATGGTCTGGCATTTGTGATCCGCTCTTTGAACTGTGTTTTTTTTGTTTGGAGGCACCAAAGATGGCCTTGTACATGCTCTGTGATTGCTTTGCCACTGAACTTTAGCCCCAACAAAACCTGTGCTTAATTTCAGTAAAATCTGACTCGTTATCTTCTCTTGTAGAAAGAAGTGATAATGCCCACCACACAAAACTTTTGTAAATACTAATAGAGAAAGATGCTCTATAAAAATGTTATAAAAAGTCAATGTTGTACTTTCATGGTTGTCATCCCCATGCTATATCTAAAAGGTAAATTATTCATTTTTATCCCTGACTTCCAACATATTAATTCAAAATCACAGTATAGTTAATAAAAAGCCAACCAAAGCTATAACAAAACTGGTACACCAAAAACTTTAGATAGAAGCACAGAAGTCACCCTGTTCTAAAAATTATGGGTCCCCTTTAACCAGACAGAAATTCATAAAAAGCCTTAAAATGGCTCCTTAATGGAGGGCATCATATTTCAGCAACTTTCTCTTGTGTCTCATTCTAACACTCAGGGAAAATTACCAGAACTTCACTTTGAACGTGGCTGGTGAGGGAAATGCAAGTGGCTTTCATCATCTGCAGTTTTAACAGGGCATTAGGCTACTGTCCAATCAAAATGATGCCCAATTTCTAATTCTTTCCAATATGTTGAAGCAGATGGTAACACTTATGCTCTTTAATATCTGTCACTGGAGTCAACTGAGAGTCCCCTCTGATGTAAAGGCTCTTTCTGGCATCACTGTTTGATCACTCATTTTATTTTTCCTGGATAATGTTTCACACTTTGTGCTTTATACCTTCCAGTAAGATCCTTTGAAACTCAGACTTCAAAGCAAGTTGTGCTGAATGTTAACACAAGCCCACATCTAAAAAGCAGGTATGCCTTAAAAATCTCACTTCTATTTATCAACGGAACCTAATGTAATCTTAAATGTAAGCCAAAAACCTAAAGTAACCTCTGTGTTGTTTTTAGTTTTCTTTCATAGAAATTGATTTAGACAAATGCAGATGTAATAGTCTACCAGTGCTCTTTACGGCAAATGGTAATGATCACACTGGAAGAAGATTGAACTTAACCAAGAACTATAATAAAAAGGATGTTCTTTTTCCATAAGAACTTGTTAACTATTATAACATATTTATCTTTATGAATAAAATTGTGTTCTACCATTGAACTTAAGTGAAATGTGAAGACTATGAATTTGTACATCTTAATAAAAAAGCTGTCAGTATAGAAAATTTGCCAATTGAAGAATGAGTTGCTTGAGGTCAAGAATTAACATTAGCTTTGTGCATAAAACAGGCAGAGCAGAAAGTGCTTAATAAATGTTTCATTACTGTCTAAGTCTCAATAGCCTGGACTACACAGTGAGTTTTGGGGCAGTTTCAGACAATGGTACAAGCAAGAAAACAAAACAAAACAAAAAAAGAAACCAATAGGCCAGGCATAGTAGAACACCTTTAATCCCAACATTGTGGAAGCAGAAGCAGGTGGATCTATGTGAGTTAGAAACCAGCTAGGTCTACACAATGAGTTCTAGGACAGTCAGGGCTATGTAGAGAGACCTAGTTTCAAAAAGCCAAAAGAAAAAAAAGGAAAGGAGAAGTCTACAATCCAAGTTTTTAGAAAAAGGGGAAATTTTGGGCGGTTCTTCCAGCAGCATCAGGTAAACAGGCCGGCTTCCCGGCCTGTGCTCCAGTGCCTGCAGATCGCCTGGGACTTGCACAGAGCTCCCAATCCCGGTGAGAGCCAAGCACCCCAGACTCCGGATCTTCGCTCACACCAACGAGACCAGGAAAGGAGAGGAGGCTGGGAGTCCAGCGAAGCGGCGGTTCTTCCAGCAGCATCAGGTAAACAGGCCGGCTTCCCGGCCTGTGCTCCAATGCCTGCAGATCCCCTGGGAACTGCACAGAGCTCCCAATCCCGGCAGGAGCCAAGCACCCAGACCCCAGGTCTTCTCTCCCACCAACGAGACCAGGAAACCAGAGGACCCAGGGAGACAAGGGGAGTAGCTGTTCTGGATCAAGTACAACAGGACCCAGCATAGGGTCTAGGGGACCAGGTAAGAGGATAAGCGCCCCAGATTCCTGTTCTTCTCCACCCACGGGACCAGCATTCGGACAAGGAATAGAAGAACCACCAGATTATTGGACTTGCAAGCACCCACCAAAAGGGAACGCTGGTCCCCAGACCAGTAAGGGGCTCTTTCTGTACCCACTAGAAGAAGAGATGGGAAAGAGACAATACAAAAACACAGTCAGCAACAGAAAAACAAATATGACACCGCCAGATTCTAGAGACTCCACACCAGCAAGACCCCAACATTCCAATGCAGACGAAGCAGATGAGAACGACCTTAAAAGCACTTTCATGAAAATGATAGAGGCCCTAAAAGAGGATATTGGAAAATCCCTCAAAGAAATGGAAGAAAAAACAAACCAAAAAATGCAAGAATTGGAAGAAAAAACAAACCAAAAAAGGCAGAAAATGGAAGAAGAAATGAAGCAAAAAATGCAAGAAATGGAAGAAAAAACAAAGCAAAAAATGCAAGAATTGGAAGAAGAATCATACCAAAAGGCAGGAAATGGAAGAAGAAACAAAGCAAAAAATGCAAGAAATGGTAGAAAAAAGCAAAAAATGAAAAAAATGGAGGAAGAAACAAACCAAAAAAGGCAGGAAATGGAAGAAGAAACAAAGCACAAAATGCGAGAAATGGAACAAAAAACAAACCAAAAAATGCAAGAAAT